GATGTTCCACAAGTAACCAATTCCGTGCCATGTTCAAGTGCCACGCCTACTCTGGCTCAGGGAGTGTATGTGAGCGATATATATCAGCAGCCAGCTCGCCTCCTTCTGTGAGACCCGTCTTCGCCGGGGGTGGGGGACGGGAGTGCGGCTTCCTCCCAACCGGTGACCCATCGTTGACTTTAATCCGCTTTTTCCCGATGTCTGTGGTGCTCGTGAACCGAACTGCAATTCGCGGTATGGTATGGTAACTTCAAGCGAGTTACCGAATTTTATGAGAGTACCCCCATCTCAGGTGCGCATTCACCATCTCTGGTGTGTGTCTCTCTACTCAGCCTGTCAACCACTTGCTGACTTTAGTCCACTTTTTCCCCATTTCTAGGCTGCCCTAGAGCCACATTATAAAATATTGTCCGCGAAACTTTCAGCGCATGCCTCGGTAGCTTGGTGTAGGCGTAGGTGTACCGACCTCTCCGAGTTGCTCATCAGGTAGAACCAAAAAAAGCAAAAAAAATCAGCGCATAAAAAGTCTTTATTGATTACTTCTCAAAGAACACCCGTCCTGAAACCCAGGCCCTGAAGAGACCGAGTCACTGCTGAGATCCGCATGTTCTCATACAAGAGTTGAAGTCGGGGAAGTTGTTCTCATTTCCGAGCGTTCCATAGAAGGAGAATCTAAATTAAATGAAATAAAACAGAAACATGAGAAAAAATTGTGTACAATCGGTCTTGTTCGCTGTGTATGCTGTGCATTGTTAGGCGGGCTGGGTTTGGCCCAGCACCAGTCCCTTTTCCGCCAACCGTTGTCGCTTGCTCACTTTCTACAATTGGTAGAGAACGGGTGGGCGTTGCGTCAAACCCAGTCCAGGACACGCCCTAGCATCCGCAGCATACAAAACCGTAGCCACTAGAGGATGAGAGGCCTCCATTCCGCATTTCTCATTTAGTAGAACCAAGAGCTAGAATGTTGCGCCGATTCCTGGTCTCCACAGAACGTTTTAAACAAAGCTATGAGAAATGAAATAGAGGAGTCCGTTGGGAAAAAGGCAGAGAAATTCTGTATGGCGGATCCTTCCTTTACTGGAGGGATGTGAAGCTAAAAAAACTGAAGTGCTTCTCACCTCATGCAAGTCTTGTACTCGCTGGTGTAAAAGTAACGATCGCTCTTCTCACCGCCAACAGCAAACTTGCCACTATCGTAGCGAAGATTACACAGGTAATCTGGAAAATAAATGCTGGGTATCACTGTGACACCCTTTTTGACTCAGTGTTAGTGGTGAAATCGACAGCTAGGTTACCCATATAATGTGCAAACCCACTCAGCGGATTGTATGGGCAAGCGGCCACATTCTTCGCAAGGTCGTTGCAAAAGTTTTCATAATGGAATCAGGACGTAGATGACACAGTGGCTAGCACTAGTGCCTGACACTCGTCCAGGGATTGTATTCTTACCCCTCCCCCTTCTTGAGACTTTTGAGTTCTTGCGCAATAAGCGCTTTGCTAGCCTCCGAGACAGCCAAGATCAAGGAGTCGAAAGGGTGGTGAACCCCAGGCGGAATGTATAGTGCTTAACAAAGTATCCTGTAGTGACGTTCTTGTGTACATGAGTTTTGGCCGCGGCTCCACCCCGTATCCGCCAATGGCTGTCGCTATGAGGCAGAGAGCTTAGCCATTGATGGAAATAGGTTGGCGCCGTGCCAAATCTCTGCATGTACGGACGCCTCTACAAGACGCTCCAATAAGCACTCTAACATTTGCTTCAGATCACTTGCCTTCCATTTCATGAAGAGGTGAACTATGCTGAAAGAATTACCTGGAGTTGGACAGCAGAACTGAGAAGTGCACTGATATCCTGTTGGGCACTGTTGAGTACTTCCATTGTCACATTGTTGAGGCGTTAAATGAGCGACCGCGTACTCGCCCCGACATGCAGCTGATTATTTGATTATTATCGCAATTACTAATATTAATAAACACAAGCTGGTTTTATCTATACTTTTTTACTAGATTGGCAGGAAATTACATCAACAAAATGGAAATGTGAAATTTTACATTGAAAGGAGGGGGGCAGAGTGCCGCGACAACGTCATGCCTGTTTTCCCGCCTTTTCAGCGAGTCAGAAAAACGGCTTCAGTACTCTTCAAAGCTCGGAAAGAATGGCAAGAAAACACAAGGCAAAACTCGACCCTGCGCAGCGAACTACTCGACTCCGCTGCCGACTCTCTATACTTAAACCCATCCCTCTCACCAGCAATTTCAACGGCTTTTTGCCACTCCAAGAGAGTCATTCGTGTACAATAGTATGAGCGTCAAATGAAAGCACTAGTTTTCTGCCTGGGTCTGGAGGCGCGAAGGAGCTCGAAAGTAAAGTGAACCAGTTCAAAGTGGGGTATTTCCAGCTTACATGAGGGTGAATCCGAATGAAATTGACGCAGTTTCGACTGGTTCTGCGCAGAGCCCTTTGAAATCTCCATTCCCCCACCCCCCGGACTTTGACATTCTTAGAATAGTAGAAAAAGATATACCCTCTCATGGCCTGCTGTAAGGGAAGCAGTCGTCCGCCCGACGTGGCTGAGTGAGTAGCTCCATTGCCGTCTATGCAGAAACTCTTGCATTCAGCAGCGGTCTCGAAACGATTACCGTTTCCGTTGCAGCCGTTATACATGAATGGCTGGCATGTTTCTAAATATATAGGGGTACTGTATGAAGGACCTGCAACGAAAAGCTCACTTACTTGTAGCGGAGTCATAGTAGAACATTTGCCGTTGTTGGGCAGTACTGCAAAAGTCACCACGCACTTTCGCTGCTCTACAGTCCTTCGGCTGATCATCACTCTGGGCGTCAACTTGGGTCGGCTGGGCCATCGGCTGGTCCATCGACTGGGCCATCGGCTGGGCCATCGGCTGGGCCATCGACTGGGCCATCGGCTGGGCCATCGGCTGGGCCATCGGCTGGGCCATCGGCTGGGCCATCGGCTGGTCCATCGGCTGGTAGCTCTGAGTCATAGGCTGGGTCATTGGCTGGTATTGCTGCTGGGGCTGGTACTGCTGATGCTGGTATGGCTGTGGCTGTCCTTCTTGCGCTATGGGCTGATAGGACGGACTCAGCGGTTGACCCTGCTGAGAGAGAGTGTAGTATTGCTGCTGAACCTGCTGAGCTGGATCATAGTACTGCTGCTGTGCAGACATGATACATCTGTGGCTGATTATACTGTTGCGGATAGCTGGACAAGAATGCTGGCTGGCCGTTACCGTAACCTCCATAGTAATTCTGGCCCAAGACGGTAAAAATGAAGAACTGCAGGAAAACGAGGTGCAGTAGCATACTGTAAATACAAATATAAGTTCCAGCCGTAAAATGTGAAACAGCTACGGTAACTTAACCCTATGGCCTTGAGTCATCTCTCTAAAGTTGAGCTAATTTTGCAGACTATATAGCCTTTGAATTTGGAAAAAATTGCCCCGGTCATCCATCTGAAGACTATTAGCCTCAAATACAGTAACACTACCATATACCAATTGGGAGGAGGTTACTGTAGCTGCAACTCTGATCTGAAACTACCTGGAAGGTGCTGAACAGTTGACGATCAACAACACGAAAGGTGCACATAAATTGCTTAAGTACCTGTGTGCACAGGGGATGTTTGCAGGGTAAACAAGCCATTTGTACATTTGCCCCCGTTGCTTGACGTTTCCCGGCGGATTGCTCTCTCGTGACCCCGCGCAAAATCCTACTAGTTTTTCGGAGTATCACGCAACATCGCGGGTATTATAATTCTCGTCATCTCCCCCTTCCCCACCCATCCAGCGCGACCCCATTTATTTTTCGCCCTGAGCTCTGAGCTGCCGGTCCGGTGCTGGTCTTTTCAAATAGGTAAGCAAAGCTATTTTTTCTGGAACTTGAAAAAAACCCAATAGAAAGTTCTAATTTTGCGATTTCAGGTTGACTGGTTTCGTAAATAAAGTAATATGCCAGCTTATAAAAATAAACGCTAATTAGAAAGCGAGACGCAATAATATTAAGCTAAACTCGCGATCATTGCAGAACACAAAAATTGGCTACCACCGACGCAAAATCTTCCCACGAAAAACAAAACCACCTAGTATTGTAATTGGAAGCGCGTGTACACTTGGGAAGAGGGGGGGCATTAGAGAGCCTGCGTGTTCATATTACTGGTATCTACGCTTAAAGGTATGTGATCTTTGGCCTGGAAGGAAGAGCTTTCGTAGCTGAGCCAACTTTTTTGGGCAAAGAAAGGCTCCCGCGCTATAGTGCACCTTATTCTGCCCGACGAGACCTTTGGATGCCCCCACCCCCTGCATTGCGGACGGCGCCTAAATAATAACTAGTGAATGTTTGCATGTGAATATCAAGAGGTTAGAATTATTAAATATGAATAAATAGGAAAACAAACCTCCGAATGTAGTTTGTGACTGTATATCCAGTATACATTAATGATGAAAAGACTGTGAAACTACGTGGGATACGCACGCATTTGTCTACGCTTCGCTAGTTTGCAAAGAACAGTTATTGTCCCATTACGGAGCTCCCTTATGCTGAATTGCCTTAAGAACCTTCCATAGCTTTCCGTTATCAGAAGTTCGTGTGGCTTGAAAGGTTTTGCTGACAGGGTTTCTTGCAAAATAAGACCTCTCAAAATTTTCTCCTCTGCTATGATCACTCCCCCTTTCCCCCTCCTGCTCAACATATTCCTGAATCTTCCCAACTTCCTACCACCTTTCCGTTGTGCAGGATTTTTCCCTCTACTTCCCCCAAAAACTCCGAAAGCTGTACTGAAGCCGAGGGATATATGTGACACACTTGAAAAAGAAATTCAAGAAAATTCAACAACCAAACATATTCTTCTCAAAGGCGAATACTGCTCCCCTCCCATCAGCGGCAGAATACGACCCCCTCTCCTCACACAATAGATCCCGACTTACGAGCGCACTTCACGTGGAGGCCATGTGACTCCTAATTTTGAGTGGGTTGATCTTGTAAATGTCGCTGTCTGTGTTGCAGCCGCGCTTTTTCCAATTCTTTGAGACAGTCTACCTACAAACACCACGTAAGCGAGCAAAGATTGGGCAAAGATCCACACAACAGGAATGTGGGTGGGACTGCGGTAAAAAAAGAAGCTCAAACATTGGTGAAAGACCGTCCAAAGGTTGGAACCATTTTGTCACATCACCCTTTTGTAAAAGTGATGTCGGCTGAGTAGAAGAATAAACAAGAAGCAAGTAAAAAAAGAAATGAATATCAGGAGGTCGCCGTTGATGGAGCCTTTTTAGGCAGCTTCAGGTAGAAACTAGTGCAGGGTGTCCTCTCTCACTTCTGCTTTCGCTATGCAGTACTTTTATATGTGCAGACACTTGTTGTGCCCTTAAAACCCTCTGTATTTACGTGACGTCACTTGTTCTATTTGTAATCTCAGTGTGTGTGGGCGGACTCTTCAGTATCTGCCGCCTATCCACAAGTAAATCAAACTGAGCCGTAGTTTCTCTATCCAAGTCGACCTTTTCAAATTCTCAACTGCTTTCTGCCTGATACCCCAATTTGGGGGACTTCCTGTTCTTATTTCGTTATTTGAAGATGGATGACGCATAGAGTAGCTCTCCTTCTACAGTTCAGTTCAGTTCCCCGGATAGGGAACATTCAATCTCTCAACGAGTAGTTGCAGCGTTCTTATCCTCTTAAGAAGAATTTCCTACCAACTTGTTGTCCTCAGGGAATAGAAGGCTCGCTCGATCGTTCCTCGACAAGAAAATTGAAGGTATAATGCAGCATTTCGAGCTGAATCTGCTGCAGGCTGAAAACACTGACGCAAAGTATGAACTCACTATAAAAGTAAATATGCCAGCTCCGTTTGTAAGTTTGTAAGTTCCAAAGCAGTTTGCTAGAATCAAAGCTCCACGTGGGAGTGATTCGCCCCCATGATTCACGAGAAGATGCTGAGTGCTTCCTAAAAAGGGATTACTCAACGCCACAGGCTTTGCCCTAACGTCGTCCTAGCATACCGCCGAGCCGTCTTACTTCTGCCTTTCATCTCAGACAATTTCTTCGTAGTTTTTCGCGTTTCCTTCCCTTCCTTTTCCTCTTCTTTCTCCTGCTGGAAATTCCGTCATGACGGCCTTTGTCGTCAAGTTTCAAAAGCGCGTTTTTGTCTTGGCAAAGACGAACTTCGGGTACTCCAGTCGATATGTCAGTAAGAAGTTTCAGTTCTTAGTTCGGTGCCTGATTGACGATGATCAATTTTCGTAGTGCAAGGTCAATCGCTCCTAAATAGTTGGCACTTGCATCGTCGGAATGTGGGAGGTGTTCACGAGAAATCCAATGTCAACCAAAACATTCATCATGCTCGCCTTCCCCGTCTTTTCTCTTCTTACCCATCCTCTTGTAACGGGTTTTTATGACGTCAGCACTAACAGCTAATAACAATAGTGATGTAACTTCTTGCTATCAAAAGACTTATAGGTTTCTACAAGAGATTTTCCGGTGCTCTTAGCTTTGGAGGGCATTGGAAAAATTCCCTCTGTGAAACTGGGGCATCATCATCTGAATAGAATTACAGCACTACAAGTTGGTCCACCCATCCCGGAGCACTACCCTCCCTAGGTCTTGGCAAAGGTGAGTTGTTTAGCTTGAGAGGGGCATCTTCCACTTCCCGTAGTAATAACGCGTGAAACCTTAGTAAGACCTGTGAACTCTTGTTAAATGTAGACAAAGTCCCTGTTACTGCGCAGTTTGTGGGCATTTATAGCTCTCTACAAAAGGTACTGGTAGTGATCGGAGAGAACAGGCAAATAGCCCCCACCAAGGTAAACTGCGCCGGTAAAATTCTTCTATTAAGGTGACTGTAGTTCCGTGAGTCCTTCAAATGCACCCTCCAAGGTTGTTAGAGCCTTCTTTCTCTTGTACGAAACCCTCCAACGTTACTAGCACATTCTTCCTCCTGTACTAAACTTACAAATAAACCAATGAGAGCTACAGTGTGAATTCGTTTTTGTGACTTAATTTCTTCTCCATATTTTTCCTCATTAAAAATAAATAGGTAACCAATCGCTACTATGGCGGCGTTTGCCTCAGAGTCTAGATTGATCGCGTTTCATTCTCGCTGAACTTGGACATTGGCGCTCCTCCCGTGGCCCTCCTCGTGAGGCTGCCCGGTCGAATGGAGCAGAGCTGCTACAAATTCCCAGCAAAACACTAGTAAATCGCTAATATTTTGTTTGGATGCTGGCGATTACTCAAATGTTCGAGCGAATACGGTAAAAAAGAAATGAACGCAATCATAGCTCTGGCCGCCCATGCATTTGGCCTAGAATGTTCATTTGGAACACCTTGATGGTTTGCGTAATCTGAAAGATATGTAGGAGAAGAACTTTGCTTTGGCGCTCCTCTAAGATTCAGAAATCGTCAGTTTGGCAGCTTGGAAATTTCGGTCATTGTCGCTAGCCCTCTTCAACAATTGCTGGGGAAGGAGCTGGCGGCCGATCCTCAACCTCCCCGACACACCCATGCAGAGGAAAAGACTGCAACTCTCTGTTTTT